GTTTGCCTTGCATGTGTGAAACCCAGGACTTGATTCAGCATCACATAAAAATAAATCAATCAAATAAACAAATCATGCCCAACCACAAGCAAAATTTTAAAAAATTAAATTTAACTCTCCTATGTCTAAAATTTCAAATCTATATAACATCCAGTTCCAGTCTCAAAAGAGTTTTGTTTTCTTCTGTGTTCTTAGTTTTGTTGGGAGAATGCACACATTGCTAGTTAAGCACTGATGTGAGATGTTTTGAATATATGCCTATCAGTGATTGTTGTCAGAGAACACATTTCCTCTTTCATTTTTCCTAGTTTTATCCTATGGGTAATTACATGAAGACAAGAGTTCAGCTTCATTGGGGCTGCATAAGATCATGCCTCATAAGAAAATATTGTTTCACTAAGTGTAATGGTCTAATCTCCAATTCAAAGACTGCACAAATGTAAATATGGGGATGTGCAAAGAGTGATGATATTATCTATATGTAACTCATTTTTGTCATTATTATTACCAGAGTGATTCTGAGCAACATCAGGAGATGTGTGCTGCTTCTGAATCTGTTGAGATCAATGCAAGCACAAAAAAGGGAATAAGTCAACTTGGAAAAGGTAAGAACCACATAGAAGACTGAATACATTAAAAAGAATATGGCCAAGAAATATGAGCACTGGTAAATACTAATTGTGCAAGACATGTGCATATTAAATAAGTAGTAAAGTTTAAGAAAAAAATGTAAGAAGTGGAGTATCTCATTAGGTTTCAGCCACAGGTTAAATTGGATGTATAGATAAAGGTACTGAACTGTGAGTTGCATTGAGACACACTTTTATCACAGGGAAATTTAAATAAGGAAAAGGACATAAAAAGAGGGAATTAAGACTGATAAATGTAGTGAGTACACATAGTCAAAAAAAATTAAAATAAAAAAGAACTGGTGGTACTCAGGAGAGCATAGGAAATTCCAACCACATGTGAGAAGGGAAAAGATCAGGGTTTTCAGAGTGTGAGAATTTGTGTGTTTCCAGTTCCAAAGTTGAATGATGGAGAGGGTACAATTTTTCCACCCTTCCTGACTTACTCACAGTTGGCAATGAATTGAGAAGTGAAGACCTATTCCCACAGAGATAAGTTCACTTACCCCAAATGATTAGGCAGGTGTACAAGTTAATGACATGCAACATGTTGCTACTCACTAGGGCAAAATTTTAGGGCAGAAACAGCAAATGGATTAGTTAAAAGAACCAGGAATTGTTATTGAGCACTTTCCAAATCCACAGGTATCTAAAATTAACTTTGGAAAGCTTACAGATTCTTCTAAACTTTATTTTGAGGGAGGAATCCAGAGATACATTCAAATTAACCTAGAGGAATTAGAAGAGGACAAATTTCACACTGACACTCTGCAACTGTTAGGA